GTTAGGAGCCAAAGCTAAATGAAAATGATGGCTACTTCCTCGCCGCCAGGAGACTCCGCAGAAAATTAAATTAAATGAAACACGCGCCCAGGGACCAAAGAAAATAGATTTCTTCCCCTCCTTCTTCTCCTCCTCCCCCCCCCCCCCCCCCCCCCCCCCCCCCGGGCTGGACCAAATCAACGCTGGTGTGCACCGCGTGCAGCGAACCTAACGCGGTGCCCACTGGCGCGCATCACCTTCAGCAGCGGCCAGGGCCGGGACGGCGAGGAATTACCGGCTTCCCTCTAATCCGGAAACAGGGAATAAATAGGACACAGGCAAATTCTGAACCTTATTATTATTTTTTTTTTCAACAGCGGCATCAATTGTGTACGGAGGAAAGTCTTCAAAAGATGCCACCCAGAACAACAGTCCTAACTTAAAAAACAAAAAAACAAAACAAAAAAAACAACAACGAGTAAAGCTTTAGTCTACCCTTCACGCCTTTTGAGTCTTAACATGATTTTCTTTCGATGCAGTGATAGAATTAACTACGGGGCTATTTATTCATTTTTTTTTAAGAGCAGACAACTATAGAAATCATTTTTTTAAAAAAAGACACTTGATCATACCTAAATTTTTCTTAAGAGTATATATAGGGAGAAATTATAATGCCCGTTTGGACAGAAGCAACAAAAAAAATCAGGAAAATAAAACCCTTTTTATTTTTCAAATTACCTGCACCAAATCTAGCCCCCATTGAGACTGTATGTATGAAAAATTGAGCAAAATGCAGAACTTCTTTCATTATAATATTTACCTCTACCATTTTAGGTGAGGGGAAAAATATCAAGACCATGCTTTTTTCTTTTAAAGTCCCTACCTTAATTAACCAAACTAAAGGACCATCTGACCTTTTAGCTAGTCCTCTAAAATAAAATATTTACTTTAAAGAAATTCCTCCACAGCCCTGCTGTAACACTGCGTTCCAAACTCTCACCAAAAGATCTGGGGGTGAGAGGGGGGATGAAAATTTTGATGGCAGGATTATCGATCTACCCACTCAGGAGTCCAGTCTCATCACCTGCTTGTCTTTAATTCTTAATTTCAGCATTCTCTCCCCCAGGGAAATTCAGTGGAGAAGTTATACCAAGATTGGAGTAAGAGGACAGTGGAAGGAAAGCAAACCCGTCCAGGAACTTTTCCAAAGAGCAGTTGATAGCAGGAGAGTAAGTCACGCATCACATTTGCTTAAATTAAATTCCTATCATAAAATACCTCCTTGATAGTCCAACCTCAACAAATCGCAGTCATGTACGTCTCTAAGGGGAAGAGAACATCCTCAAAGAAGCTGAGCCAGAATGGGAGGAAGCAGAATGAGAAAAGAACACTGAAGTGTGGGGAAGAAATGAGACAGGTCCACAGAAAGGCTGGACTGAGAGCGGGCTGACGCACGCTGGCCTGACCTCTGGGTCAACAAGTAGTTTAACTCTACCTTGATCTGCGAGACTGGACCCTTGTCCCTTAGTTCAAAGTGAAACCCAGCATTTGGGTTTGAGTGAGCCTCCAAGGCACTGTGAGAGGCGCTTTATCACAGACAAGGCAGAGGGAAATCACAATCCTGCACTTCACCCACCATCCATCCCCCCAAGAGGGAACCCAGCCCGCCCTGCAGAACAGCAATCTAGAAATACTGTTCAATAGACATCACAGCAAAATACACCGACACTGGAAGGGAGAGGAGGGGGAGTGGAAGAAAGTGAAAGTTTTTCATTTACAACTACCGAAAAATCCGTCCCCCTGCAGCCACCCCCAAGAAATCATCTTCTAGACAATATCTTTGCCATCATCCACCTCTTAAATCAAATGTGATCTGTATGTAATGCAACTGATATTATAAATGCACCAAGCAGCTTTCCTTACCTGCCACTACATTTAACTCCTTCAGAACCGGTTCCTCCTCAGCACTGCAACTTTCAATAAAAAAAGAAACAACACTTAAATTGTGTGCTGCGTGTTATTCCTAGGAAGGAAGTGACAGAAAGAGACTATTTTACTTAAAAACCAAAGAATCAGAGCAGCTTGCTTCCCTGAAATTATAGGAATTGAAGATCACAAATATTTGCAAAACAGCATGATCAAGACAGTCTGCATCTTAAGCCCAAACTGCAGTCCTAAAATATTTTACCCCCAATTGATTTTTCTTCTACATTTACAATATTCACAGCACTCTGTATTTTCACTTGTTTATATGGGTAAGAAGGACTTCATATACTTTTCAATGGAAGATTTTCAGTTTGAGATATACACCAAGACTGAACTTGGAGTGAGGAGAATGCAAACGGAAAGAAAGAAGCTAAACTGAAAAGAATCTGAACACACTAACTTTTTATTCAATTTGATTCAAAATAATATTACTCTAATAGTGAAATAGTTTGATATAACAATCAACATTTAAAGTAATTTTTTTTTATGTTTCAAAGTATGGCTCAAGGAACCCATTACTTAAATGCACTTAGACATAACAAGACAATTTTTTATTGGCATCTTTGACACCTGTGAACAATAGCCTAGTAAATAGATTAAGGTTTAACCTTCCTTTTCTTTGGTGGCTGTTTAGAGACTTTAAAAGAACAGATAACTCATTTCAACAGGAATCTACTACCGATATTTACCTCTACATAATCTTTAGCTAAGACATGGAATGCCAAAAACAAGCTTTTGTTAGCTTGACCTCCTCCACCCCCTAACAACAAAAGTTATCCCCAAACCCATGTTTTTATTTTAGATGTATTGATCTTCCAGTGTAAGTCTTGCCCTTTTAAATACCAAATACAATCAACCTGAGTTCTTCTGGAGAGTGAGAAGGAAGCAAAACGGGAAATTCCTTGGAATTGTTTTGGTGACTTAGTCCAAATTTTAAGAGGTCAGTAAATCCTGATGCTTTGAGCTAAACCTACTGGTAAATAATTAATTACATTTCTTAGACACTATAATCTTTATCTTGGTAAATAGAGAAAACAGTTTTGCCAGATAAATCATTCTATTGAAGTAATATTAAAGGCGATTATTTAAATAGTACCACAAAACAGCATTATATTTTGCTTAAATAGACATTTAACTGAGAACAAAATGCAAATGTCCATAGTTTAAACAGAAAAAAAAAAATACAAATTAACTGGCCTAGTCTTTTATCTGAGTTTATTAATACCATTTAAAATATTACAAATAAATCAATTACATCTCATGCATTTAAAATGCAAGTCTAAAATGTTCTAGAGAAAGGCTTTTCATTTCAATGTGAAATATCCAAATTATTTCAACATTACAATGAGCAATTAGTTTGCAGAATTTGCAAACATTTAAATGTAAGTGTCAGGAGTGTTTGTTAACAGTTAAACAATATTACCTTCAGGAAATACACAAAGGCCAAAGTTAGTTGAGTTTCACTTGGACAATTTATTTAATACATGGGTTTTGGCAAACCCAGTGATGAAATATAGGAGAACTCTCACTTTTAACTATACCTGAACTGCCAGCAAATGCAAATAAGTACATGCTCCATTAAATTAAATGTCACCCCACATTTATCAAATATTGTCTTAATTACAGTTCGATAGCTATCTAAATTAATATTCGAGCAACACTAGGCCCTGAAAGTGCGTTTGTGGCTCTGCACCTCCAGAAGTGAGTTCAAAAAGCCTGCAGTCTTCACAACTGCCACAATAACTCTTAATATTTTCTTGTAACCAAAAAAATCAAGTTTACTTCGATATATTTTCAAATATTTACTGGGAGTAATGTACAAGAAAAATACTATACAAAATCGTCTCCTGGACAGCTGCACCTCGCACCCATAGGCTGGTGGAGTTATAGTTCATTGGTAACTAATCTAGAGCGATTCTCCAGTGGTACAAACCATTAGGTTCAGATTATTTTTACAAAGGTGTTTCCCCTCCCCCTACTTTCCCTCTTTTGGCATTTAAATTTAAACTGCAGCCTCGTCTGATATAAACGATAGCTTTCTTCACTTGTTTATAAGTTCAAATCACACACAAAAAAGTTTCACCCTAATAATCTTCAATGGATTGCAAGAATTTACAGATACGGGTACTATACAAATTGATGTATGGAGTAGCAAAAAAAAGGGGGGGGGGAGATTAGGCTCGGGGGTGATGAAAAACGAGGTAGAAAAGGACAAACACGGAGATAGTGAATCTGTTCTCACCGGAAAAGGGGTATTTTTGCATAAGAAAGACACCTACCCTCACCCCACCCCCACCCCATAAGTTAAATTAATTCCACCAGAATAACTTTGGGATCAATATTAGCACAGTTTTGAGAGAAAGACTTGCTCACTGCTGGAGGAAAAGCTATCTAGATGGGAAACCAAGGGAAGGGATGCCTTTTTCCCCCTCCCTTTAGGTTTTTAGTTTTTAAAAAAATGTTATAGTGACAGAAGGCTGCCAAGACGGCCCTTGGTTGAAACTTGCATGGGTCCCGCCTCAGGGAACAAAGGGAGAGGGGCCGAGCTGGAGCTGGGACAGCTCAACTCCGCAAACTCCGCAACTCCGTGCGGCCAGGAGGGCCCCCGCCCAGCGCTCCCACGGGGCGGGAGGCGGCCGGCGGTCCTGGCCCCGAGTGCGCGGCCGCCCCGGCGGGGATGCCCACGCGGGCCTCCTGCCTCGCCCTCCCCAGCTAAGCCCAGCCTTGTCCCACCGAATCGCTGCCGCCCCGGAGCGGGCCTGTCCCCCGGGGCTCTGGACTCCACCTCCAGGGCCGCTTCCCTCTGGAAGGCCCTTCGCACCATGGGATGGAGGGAGGGGAATCAAGGGAGGGCGAGGACAGACGAAGGCCCGGCGGGGCGTGGGTGCCCGCAGCGCGGAGCTCCGACGGGGTCCCCGGTGGAGAAGGAAAGCCGGGGCCCCCCGCGGACGGCAATGCGTGTGTTACTTACATGTACGTCCACATGCCCTTTACAGAGTTAAGTCCCAGAGGGAGCGAGTGAGAACAGAGGGACAGAAAGAGGCAGGAGCGGAGGCCAGGACGGACAGACAGACGGGGACCGGCCGGGGCGGGAGGAGGCCACGGGGAGGAGGGCCAGGAGGCGCGGGGCTCGCGGTCACTCCAGGCCATTGCGGTGGCCGGGCTCGGGGGGCGGCAGCAGCTCCGGGGAGTGGCAGGGCGGGCTGCCCGCGGCGCTGTGCTCGCTGTCGGTGTCGCTGCCCTTCTTGCCGCCGCTGCCGGAGCCCGCGGAGCCGCCGGCGCTGTGCGTCTTCACGTGCTTGCTGAGGTGGTCGCTGCGCATGAAGCGCTTGTTGCAGACGGGGCAGGCGAAGCGCTTCTCGCCCGTGTGGGTCCGCAGGTGCCGCTGCAGCTCGTCGGAGCGCGTGAAGCGCTTGCCGCAGAAGAGCCAGTTGCACACGAAGGGCCGCTCGCCCGTGTGCCAGCGCAGGTGCGCCTTCAGGTGCGACGTCTTGCCGTACACCTTGCCGCAGCCGGGGATGTGGCAGCTGTGCAGGCCCTTGCGCCGCAGGCTCGCCCCCGCGGGGCCCAGGCGCTCGGCCTCCTGGCAGTTGGGGCAGTCGCAGGTGGCGCGGCCGGAGTAGCGGCGCGCGGAGGAGCGCGGGGAGCCCCCCAGCGGCGCCGCCGCCGGCCCCGCGCCCAGCATGGAGCCCCCCGCGCCGGCCAGCGGCGACGGGGCCGAGTCCGGGTAGGAGCCGGGCAGCACGGGCTTGAAGCCGTCCACCATGAGGTGCTGGCCGGCGGCGGGGCCGAGCAGGTGCGAGGAGGCGCCGCTGCTGAAGGCCGAGTGGCCGAGGCCCGAGTAGTCCGAGTTGTAGCCTCCGAGGGGCGAGTGCAGCGAGGTCTGGAGCCCCCCGGCGGCCGCGTGCAGCGAGCCCGGCAGCGCCGCCGCCGCGCCGCTCGGGTTCTGCACGTCGATCCAGCCCGCGCCCACGTCCCACCAGCTGGAGGCGCCGGCCGCGCCCACGTCGCCCGCGGCGGCGGCGGCGGCGCCCAGGCCCGGGTGCGAGGGCTTGAACCACGACTCGTAAGGGTGCGCCATGCCCACGCGCGGGTAGATGCCCTGCAGCCCGTCCACCGAGGCGTGCACCTTGGAGATGAACACGGGCTGGTGGGCGCCGTCCTGCGAGTGCGCCGAGGAGGAGCCGCCGCCGCCGCCCCCGCCGCCCCCGCCGCCGCCGCCGGCCCCGGACACGCCGGGCGCCGGGAACACCGCGTAGTCGTTGGCGAAGGGCGAGGCGGAGGCGGCGGCCGCGGCGGCCGCGGCGGCGGCGGCGCTGCTGGAGGTGAGGGAGAAGGCGCTGGAGCCCGGAGAGCCGCCGCAGCCGAACGAGTCGGACACCAGGGCCGCGGCCGCCGCCGCCGCAGCCGCCGCCGCCGCCGCCGCCGAGGACGAGCCGCCGCTCCGGGAGGCCCCCGCCACGCCGCCGAAGCCGGACAGGCCGGAGCCCACTACATTGCAGCTGCCCGAGGAGGACGAGGAGGAGCGTTTCCAGGGGTGGAAGCCCTTGCCGAAGGAAGAGGAGCTGTCCGAGAGGGAGGAGGGCGACGGGCTGGGGCTGCCGATCTTATTGCAGGTAGCAGCGAGCATGGCCAGAGGAGTGGATCCCAACCGCGGTTCTTCCTGCGGGAAGGGGGGTAGGGGTGTGGGGGAGGGAGAGGGAGAGGGTGGGGATGGGGGTGGGTAGAGTAGGCCGGCGGGGGAGGGAGGAAAGAAAATCTGCATCAGATCTCCGGGAGCCCCTCCGCACGAGCGCCCCGCTGCTGCACCCCGAGTCTCGCTGCGGCGCGCCGCCGCCAACTCACCTGGCTCCCCCGACCGCCCCGGCGCCCGGCCGCCTCCTACGCTGCGGGCGGGGAGCAGGGTGGCTGCCGGCGGCGTCCGGGTCGGGAGCAAAGCGCCATGCTAAGGGAGAGCGGGACACAGTCTCACCCACACACACTCCCGCGCCCCCAAGCCCCGGCACTGCGAAACACACAAGCAAAAAGCAAAAGTCCGGATTCGGGGGGGGGGGGGGGCGGGGGGGGAGAGAAAGAAAGTTTCCTTTGCCGAGAAGCCTGGAGGGAAACCGTGGATTGCTAAAAAAAAAAAAAAAAAAAAAAAAAAAAAAAAAAAAAAAAAAAAGCGCTTCCCGTGTCATCCAGAAAAAGAGTTTTTTGAAAACCCTGCTCCGGTTCCCCCAGATCCCCCTCCTGGCTGGTGTCTCCCGGGCCAACCGAGGTCACAAACTACAAAGCTGGCTCACTTGCTCTTCCTGCTGTTCTTTTCATTTTCTTTATTTAAAAAAATTCTACAATAGTTTAAAAAAAATAAAATAAAACGAGACGGGTTCCACGTACCTGCAAGACAAGGACTGCGGAATTGTTTAAGGGGGTGAGAGGAAAATCTGCCGTTTGCCCAGGAGGAAAAAAAACTTGCTCTCTTTTCACCCCCGAAATCGTCGCCTGCAAAATGGGCAGGAGCGCAGGTCTCCCGGGCGGGGAGCGGCCGGGCGCGGCGAGGCGGCCGGTCTGAGTGCCCTCCGAACCTCTTCCTGCGCTCACAAAAATGCCTCTGCCCCCCTCTCCCCCTCTTTCTTTTCTCCAAACTCCCTTGTATTTAAAGAAGAAAGGGGGGGGGGAGGGGGAAAAAACTCTCCATAGAGACTGATAGCCCGTGGCCTGGCCGGGGCGACTCGAACCCCCCTCCGATCGGCCATAAAAAGGGAACCTCATTAAAGCGGCGAGAGAAAGCCCTGAGCGAGACTCACCCCTAGAAGTGAAGTTGCCATCACACACCAGTGCCCTCCTCCTCCTCTCGGAGGATCTGTTTTATATTGATAAATCGGAGGCCGTGTTTTTTTTGGAGGTGTGCAATACAATGATCAGGTCCGCCCATTCCGCCACAATTGTAGCTCCCTCTCCGGCTTTGAAGTGCCGCGGGGGCGCGGCCAGCCAATCTGCGGCCTCGCCGGGCCCGCCGCGCGCGCCGTGAGGTCACCGGCGCCGCCGCCGCCGCCGGGGGGGGGGGGGGGGGGGGGGGGCCCGGGGGGGGGGGGGGCCGGGCGGCGTGTGCTCCCGAGCGGGTGTGAGTGTGCAACAACGTGCCTGCGTGCGTGTGAGGTCGGGAGGAGGATAGGGGCTGTGAGTGTGGCAGTGGGGCGCTGGTGAAGGGGGGCTGGGGGGGAGGGGAGGGACAGTGCTGAGAAGGGGGGTGTGACAATATCACTGCGGGCGACAATGGGGGGAGGGGAGAGAGACGGATCAGTAAAGTGAGGAGGGGAAAGGTGTGAGTGCACTACAGGGTAGCGGAGTGACAGGCCCAGGGAGGGGCGGGGAGGTGGTGGAAGTGCGCGGTGGGGGGGAGAGGGAGGAGTGTGAGTGTGTGTGTGTGTGTGTGCAAGAGGATGGGGGGGGTGCGCGCGCGCCCTGGGTGTGGGGGGAGAGGAAGGCTGTTTGTACGCGTGTGTGTATGTGTGTGTGTGTGTGTGTGTGTGTGTGTGAGAGAGAGAGAGAGAGAGAGAGAGAGAGAGAGAGAGAGAGAGAGAGAGAGAGAGAGAGAGAGAAGTTGGGGGTGTAGGGCAGGACTGTGCAGGAAGTGCTCCTACCTAAGAGAGCAGAGGTTGGCGACTTGAAGAAGGAATCTTCGAAGTTGAGCGAGGGAGGCTGAGCCCTTGATAAATGTGCGCAATCGCCATCCCCGTCGCCAACTTCTTCTGGTTTCTTGCACCTAAAACCTCAAGGGGTCTTTTTCTTAACTTCTTAGACGTCCTCGCGGTATCGTTTGAAGAGAGTCGTGCGGATACCTACCTTTCCTTTCCCCGACTCTGGCGGATGGAGGGAAGGCGGGGAGGCGGGGGCGTATTTTTAGGGGTGCGTTAGGGCGTGTGTGCGCCTGCGTCCAGGAGTTGTTCCTTGGATGCGGTGGTTTTCTTTTTCTTTTCTTTTTTCTTTTCTTTTTTTTCCCCTTCCTGCTGAGGTGGGGTTCATCTTTGGAAGGGCCGGTCTCACTGTAGGGGAGGGGGTGTGTGTTTGTCCCCTGACGATGAGTACATCTCAGTACAAAAAAAGGCTTAGATGGAGAAAGGGGTGAGAGAATATTGTGTTTTTTTCCCCTTGGGGTGAGAAATTGAGGAGCGTTTTTGTGGAATTGAGGAGTCTTCACAAGAAATCACAACTGCCTCTTTCTGAGAGGAAAAATTGGGATTTTGATTGATATGTGTGGGTTTTATTTATCTGAGAATAGAGACAAGGTTTTGACAGATCTTGGGCCACATATATAGAGGTGTCTGCGTCCCATAGTGTTTGGGCCAGATATCTGGGAATGCGTGTGCATGTTAATAGATACACTCAGTTCAAATTCAGTGGGCTTTAGTCACTTGCTTCCCATTTGTGTTATTAGTTGCCTTCAGAAATGTCATTACGATTTCACTGCCACCACGAGGAAACATCTTAAACCGCAGAAAGCACCACACCAGTGAAACAAAAAGTCCACAGCCCTTGGCACCCTATTGAATATTCATTTGGGTTTTTTTTTAAGTAATTCATATTTCTAAGCAGTTGTAAATGCCCTCAGAAATCTAATTTTAAAGCAGAATTGATTAAAATGTTACTAGCTGGGAAAATTTTTTTTTTCTGGGTAAACATTTTTTTTGTTAACACTCCTCAGAGCTTCTATAGAGAAAAACACACACACACACACACACACACACAAAAACCCTCCTGGCGTTTACCGAAACCCAAAGTCAGGTAGTAATCTGTGAAGTTTCATTGAGCAGAGTTGAGTCTGGTGTCATGGTGTACAAGTGCGTGTTTCTGACCCCTTTTCAACATTGTTGGGATATTGACTGTACATCATATCTATTGATTAAGGGGGTAAGGTACACTCTCCGACTCTGAAGTAAGCATGTAGTAAATTAATGAACTGCTTTCTTTCTCTGAAGGCTGACGCTTACCATAAATGTCGTGTTTCTCCCCGCAAGCCACTCTGAATGATTTTAGCGTGTTGAGAAGGCGTGACAGGCCAGCCCAGAAGGAGGAAGGGGTGGGGGAAGGAGGGAACTCCGTTTAACAAATAAAAGAGAATTAACTTCATTGCTTTGGTCTTTTCCTATAATGATATTCATTTTAAGGACCTAATACACAGTTGTTCAAATTTAGGGCTTAATTCTAATCAATACCACCATCACCCTCAAAGGTGGAGGCGGGGGAGGGGGAGGACTTTGAGGGAAGACTCCCTTTATGAATAGTTATTTAATCTTTTTATCTTCCAATCTTCTGGAAGGAAGTGAGGCAGGACTGTCAAAAGTTAAATGCTGATTCTGAAAGTAAACAGAGGCACTAACCACTGTTTCTTGAAAAATTACTATTTTGAGATACCTACTTCTAAGTCCTTTATTTCTATAAACCCAGTTTAGAACCATGAATTCTTCCTATGACAATGGGTCACACAAAGTGTGTGTGGATTCTTCAATTTACATAAGGTTGGCTTGCATTTGGGGGATTTTCACAGGGGTTGAATGTGGATCTTTCTTCATAAGAAGATATATAAATATATATTTATTCCACTTCCATTTAAAAAGTTAGGTATTTATTTCATAGTACTAGTATTGGTCAAAGGGCATTTTTTCTTAGTCCACCCTCCCAACACGTGGTTAGTGCTTATCCTACAAGGTAAGACAGCCAGAGTAAAAGAGGAAAGACAGAAAATGATATAATGGACCAAACATTAAAACAGCAATGATGTTGCTTCTGGTTCCAATGAAACTAGTCTAATGGCACCTCTTTCTCTACTTTCCATAAGTGACTCCATCATTTAAGCCAGCCAACCCCCCCCTCGACCCCCCCTCGTCCCCGGTCCCCTGTCCCCACCTAAGGGAACGTCTGAAATTCATTGTAGTTACAGCCTGTCCAGCAAAACATTTCACATTGCACATAGCTCGGTTTACCTTTTGTGATATTGACCCTTACTCCTGAGTATAATACCTCGATACCATAGAGGTCTGGATGGGGAAAGGGGGGAGGAAGATAAGTGCAGGCTTTCTAACAAATTAAAAGTTTCCCCCACTCCCTGTGAAGTTTAATGTGCTGGCAGGGAGGGGTAGATGGCTATTCTGCTGTTTCTTACAAACCTGTGGGATCCACTTTCAATAAAGCTAAAATCTATTAGCATTCTGTATGCATCTGCAGCATAAATTTCATTTGAATTTCAAATTTAATAAACCAGGAGGTTTTTAATCATCCCTGGTTTTATTTGTTTGATATTAACATGCTTATTGACCGGGTCTGGTGACCAGTTTGATCATTACAGGACAGCAAAAAGTTAATTAAAACGACCACAGCCCCTTAATCATATCATCTGTCTCATCCATGTCCTTCTCTTTATTACCGGTGATGATGGATAGTCTCCCAGATTAATTTCTCTGTTTCTTCGATTTGGACAACAGCTTTTGGGACCTAATTTACATCCTGGGAACAACTTGCTCAAGTATATCCAACACCTTGCAGCTACAATATACATCAACATCTCCTTAGATGGAGCAGAAAAGGAGAGGGGGGTGTGTGTGTGTGTGAGAGAGAGAGCGAGAGAGCGAGAGAGCGAGAGAGCGAGAGAGCGAGAGAGAGAGAGAGAGAGAGAGAGAGAGAGAGAGAGCGAGCGCTTTTCAGGCACGTTTGAAGACTAGTCAATGTTGCGATTTGGAGCTCTTATGCTTTCGAAGCCAAAGGAATAGAAGGTCCTAAAAGCAAATTGGAGGCCTCTATCCCTGCTTTTTCCTTTTCAGGGAGGTGGGGAGTGAAATATGCCTCTGCTGTTTGGTTAAATAGATTGAAACATGTAGGCACAGCGGCAAGTAAATAAAGCCATTTGTAACCGTTTAAGGACTAGTACAATTAGGGATTTATAGTCGAACACATCAAAGTTCTCCGGGCTTTCAAGTGTCCGGCATCACATCTACATCGAATATACGGTTTTTAACATAGGTGTGTTCCGGTCCGGTCCGGTCTAAATCGGGATGTGGGGGGGGGGGGGGGGGGACGGAGGGCGGCGGGCATGCACATGAACTACAGAGGCGCTACCTCCGCTGGGTACGCTCCAACCGGGCTCCTCGCAGCCGGGTCCCCGGGAGTTGGCACCGACGCGCAAGCCCTGGAAGCAGACGGGCGAGCCCACCGAGTGGATGCGGTGCTGCCCCGCATCCCTGCAGGGCGCCTCTCCCACCCCTCCACCCCCGAAATAAGGAAACGACCCCCCAATCCCTGGCCCGGGTGCGGGGACCTCGCTCGCGGATGCGTTGGTGACTCAATAAAGCGGGGAGAGGGGCGGGGAGCCAGCCCGGCGCCGCCGGCGTGTGCGGGGAGGAGCGGGCCGGGCCGGGTTAGGCTAGGTGAGGGGTGTCTCCTGGTCAGGAGCTCCCCGGCCAAAGTTTCTCCCCCGCTGAAAAGAAAGCCTGTGGGTTCCGGAGGGGGTCCCCTGAGCTGCCCACCCCCGCTCTCGGGCGGCCGCGCGGGAAGTTGCCTGAGGTGTGCGGGCAGGGAGGCCATAAAAGCTCTGGCTGGTGGCACATTTAGAGCGGCGGGAGGGATGGGATCAGGCGGCCGCAGCCCGGAGAGGGCTGTGTTTTCCTGATTGGAAAATGGGAACTTCCACGCTGAACAATAGCCCCTATTAGGGAGGTTATTTGGTTTCAAACTGCCCGGCCAATTTTATAGCCGGGTCCTGACTGCCCAGGCCCCGCTGAATTGGATGCATTTGTTGACCCCAGCAAAGCAACAGCGACCTGGTCTGTCCCACAGGCTCTCCCCGTGGGGGCAAAGCATCGCCTTGGGCACTCTTTGGGAGGACCTGGGACCACTCGGAAAAGCATCCTCCCCCCCCTCTTTTTT